AACAATTACTGAGCGTTTACTCAACCGTTGTGTTCACTATGAGGTCTTTTTTTTATAGCTGAATCAGTATAGAAAACAACGAAAAGTATAGTGTAGAAAATATCCTTCAAGTCAATCGTTTTTCAATCATTTGTTGAATGGAATTTTTTTATTTCTAGAGAAAATTTTCTTATCTTCTAGAGAAAAATCGTAAAAACAGATTTCAATGTTGGTTACACTGCGTTGCTCTGAGCGCAGCGCGCGGCGTAGTTGTCTTCCGGTAGAAACTCGCATGTTTCTCCCGTTGTGACTCCTTTCCGGTAAGGTCTCAAGATGACGGGCTTCAGCGAGAAGGTTCGTATCCAGAAATTCGATATTTCTGACAGTTTAAGTAACTCTTACGCAGTGTATATACGCGATCGCGATTACTTAACATATAGAATAAATGCACGAGTCCTTTGATATTCCTCGGAAATTCGCAGTTACCAAAAAAAAGCTGCTTCGCTACTTAATGTCATGCACGTGGTAACATCCGATCATATATTCCATGCGGAGATCGAAACGCATTGTACATTGTACATATTGAACGGTATAAATTCCAAACTAGATTTGATTTTTTTGATTTAATAGTTTCGTGCTCCAAATCGCATGTATCTTATGGCTCCCCTAAATACTTCTACACATTATAGGTTTGTCGCGTTGCTTGTACTTTTGATACTCGACATCTTTACTTTTTTAAGGTAAAATATGTATCTATCTTATTTTAAGTGCAAAAATATTTGGGAATTTCATACAATGTGAATAGATCATATGTCTATTCCCGTTTCTTGAAATTTTTAAGTGTTTGCAAATAAGATAAATGTATATCTTAAAATGAGATAAATATTCAGGTGTTGAAAAAAGCGAAGATGAGCTGAGTGCAAAGAATGCAAGCAACGCGAACAAACATTGTAAGAAGTAAGAATTATTTGTACTGTATGATGGTCAATTTTCAATTTCTGTGGAGGTTATTACTGTTTTAGCCAATATTAATAGATGGTCGCGGCCATTTACTTGGACGATTAGCTGCAATTGTTGCCAAAACCATTCTGCAAGGCAACAAAGTTATCGTCGTACGCAGCGAGCAACTCAACATTAGTGGTAACTTCTTCAGGTTTGTCAAATCCTTATTAGCTATGTCTTGGTTGTTTTCCATTGCATTGGTTTTTTTTTATTCATGATGCACATGATGTACTATTTTATCCTTGTTTACCGAAGCAATGCTAAAATGATATATCATATGATATTTTTTTATAAAATGGAACACACTTCTTATTTTAATGCTTGATCTATAGTATCTAATTAAAACTAACAATAATAATTAAAATAAAATTTATTAAATGATGAACAAAGAAGGTTTAATAGGAATTAACAAAGTAATTGAATTACAATAAATTTAAAATTAATTTGAAGTTTCAAAATATTTGTCAAAGTATTAAATATGTGAAACTTTAAATTAATTTCAAATTTTTGCAATCTAATTACTATGACTTCTATTAATTTTTCTTGTTCATTATTATTTGAATTGTAAGGAGTTTTATTGGTTAAATTGATTTATAATATTTATTATTTTATTACTTAATAAAATAGACAGTAATAGCTATTATTGATATTATTTTATTCTACTTTATTTCATATAAGAAAAGATCATTTGGTCAATAGTATAATTAATATTATCTAGTATTATATATAATGGAAAATGTGATGGTATGGTAATTTGCATCTGAAATTAATCTGTTCCGATTTTTATAATAGAAATTCTAAACTGAATTATGAAATTTTATGCAATCTTGTTTTAATGTTGAGACAATAGATACTAAACATGTATTTTTCAATTTTCAGGAACAAGTTGAAATTTATGTCTTTTTTGAGGAAAAGATGTAACGTAAATCCTGCACGTGGTCCATTCCACTTCCGAGCGCCAAGCAAGATCTTCTGGAAAACAGTTCGTGGTACGTACAGTTGAGATTATATTATCATAACATAAAATAAGGATATTGCACATGATTAACAAACATTTACCTTTACCTACATTATTTGATAAGGTCATGAAAAGAATTATTTTTTATGATGCCATGATTTCATTACTATCTTATGAAGCAAGTATAAGAAGATATTAAAAAGATTCGTTTACAGGTATGATCCCACATAAAACACAAAGAGGCAAAGATGCTCTTAGGCGACTGAAGGTTTACGAAGGTTGTCCACCACCATATGATCGCAGGAAGCGTGTTGTTGTACCTGGTGCTATGAGAGTGATGTGCCTCAAACCAGGCAGAAAAGTAAGATATATATATATATTTAAATTTGTTTAAATAGTCTCTTTTATATTTGAATTTTATCTGTTTAATGAAAGAACAATGATGGTATGGTAATTTGCGTCTGAAATTAGTCTACTTGACTTTAATGATGATCTCTTAAACTGAGTTATAAAATTTTATGCAAAATAGTTTGTTCACAATATTGAAGCAATATAGATACTGATATAATTTTGATTTTCAGTACTGTCACGTGGGCAGATTGTCTCATGAAGTTGGATGGAAATACAAGGACGTGGTTCGCACGTTGGAGAACAAGAGGCGTGCCAGAGCTATCCTTGAAGTTCAAAAGAGGAATAAACTTAAGGTAATTAATACATCAAAAATTTAGTCATATTTTACTTTCTTTCCAAAGATTTTTTTATATATAAATATTCGAGATTTACTAATTATTAAATTTTGTTTGCAGAAACTTACCAAGCAAGCTGGTGAATCAGTTGCCAAAGCAACGGCACCGTACACAGCGATCATCAATAATTTTGGATACAATTAACATACATGTTACAAAAACAAAAAATAAAGTCTCTTAAATATCTTAATCCAGAATACTCTTTTACTTCCAAACTCGATATAAAAAATTGAAATATATACAGAATCGTGTAAGGAAAACGCTTTGCTTTAATTTCATTAAAGCAAAAATAAATTAATATTCTTAGAATTAATTTGTCGTGCATATTCGCAATATTTAACAGTCTTTGTTAACTTTCTATAGAATCTATAGTAAATACAACTGTTCCACTTCTGTCGTTATCTTCCTCATCGTGTATTTCGTGTTCCTCTTCATCATCAGAAGAAGATGAGGAAAGTAAACCGTTCGTATATTGTGTGCGGTAATTGCCTACATTTTGTGGTGTAGAACCAATAGTATATCCTATTTGATTAGCCAGACGTTCTACTGCATGTTTCGCTTGAATTTCCTGTTAAATATTAAAATGTTTGATATTAAAATGTTTTCCTAGTCCCTGAAAAGAATGAAAAGACATAAAAAATGGAAAATATACTCCTACCTGTAATTTTTCAATTTGTTCCTTCTGTAATTTTAAAGATTCGTTCAAACTTAGAACTTTAGCTGCTCCGTGAACTATAAGAGGTGGTGTAGCTGCCGTGACTTCCCAATATTTATGCAATTTTCTGTGTTTTTCCTGCATTGGATCATGTACGTTGCTTTTTGTTGTTTTATATGGTTTAAATGACTCTCTTTTTTTTACTTCTTGTACCTTCTCTACTTTATCAACAATATACTTGACATGCTCTGTATCTAAAAGATCTGTCTTAAAGGTTTCAATCTCTGCTATGTCTTCAGGTTTGATGAGGTTTTCTTCAGGTACCATATGTATAATTTTTTTTTTGTGAACACCAGTTCCTGTAGGCTGTTAAAGCAAAATAAACCATATATATATATCAATTGACGAAAGTTATTATCAATGTTATAAACAAGATCTCAACCTGTGCTAGTATTTTTAATGGATCCTCTTCATCATCACTATCCAAGTCAATGATTTTAGTCATATTTTCATCATTCCTTTCATTATATTTTCCTGTCCATTCCAGTTCGCTCATAGCCATTTTGCCTTCGGATGCTATGTTAAGCCGTGACAGTACATTAGCTGCTTCTTCCACTTCATTTCTGTGTTCGAGTTCCTTCTGTATCTTATTGTAAAAGCTTATAATTTTCTCTCCTTTGTCGGGAAGCTTTGAAATAAATTTTCTGAAAAGAAAACGAGATGCTTCAAGATTGTTCGAAACATTAAGATTCAATAGTTCACTTCCTACCTACTTATTAGCAAGAATTTTTTTCTGCCTTTCTAAAAGCTCTTCTAACTGAAATCTCTCTTTCTTTTTTAAATTATCAATATAGCCTTGACTTTCCTTCTTTGAAGGGACTACATCGCCAGATATTTTTAAATTTCTCGGAATCATATTTTTTGTTATTAAATTCTTAAAGCGAAACAATCGTTTTGGCTGAAACCGGCATAACGAAAGGTTATGTAAAATGTATTATATTAAGTATAACTACTAACTCTTAACAATCGTATATGTTCAAAATCACTTTATGCAAAATTAAGAAAGAACTTGGATAAAGAATTAAAAAAAGAATTAGAGAAATTGGAATTCAAACAAATTCCAGCGCAAAGTGATGCAAAAGTTGATGAAACTGCTGCAAAATGTCTCGCAATTAAAAGTAAAGGTATCATGAGAATGTGTCAAACTTTTTCACGTTTAATTTAAACAGCGTGATAATGTCATCGTGAAGAAGCAATTCTTAGAACGATCGGCTGTAAAAAGCATTTCAAAAGAAAGTGAATGGAATATTACGTTTAATTCTGTTCAAGTGAAACGAAGTAAACGAGCAAGCGAAATTATCATTGCACTTTATGTACTTTAAATGGGATGGATACATATAGAGAGAAAGCTACATATAATTTAGTGTTGAAGAGGAAAGGAAAAATAAAAAGTGTATGCAGAGAATATAAACGAACGACAAAGGTCATGTCACTTTGGCAATCGTACAACCAATCGGAAGTGTTGAAAAGCGACGAATATCGCAACGACACGATATATCGAGAGCCCCGCTTTTCCACGAATCGATATGATACACATCGCAACAATGACACTTTCCGCACTCCTCGTCGTTTTTCTTTCTCACTTCGATGTGCAATCATGCGATAGTTTTTCGCGTTTCAAGTGCGGAAAGTGTAAGTCAACGCAATATAAGGAACAGATGTCTAAAAAATCCCAACATTCCCAACCTCAATGGAGCTCGAGAGTGTGAGGTGAATGATGCTTATGGACGTTCAGCTCGTCTTTTTATCGCCTCTGAGACCTCGCTAGTTAGAGTCACCTGTCCGCTCGCGGCGGGTTCGGCAAAACCCGGATCCCCGAGCGACTTGGCAGAAGGTTTCTATATGCGCGCCGGCGAGAGAGGGACGAGAAGTTATGACCGTGGGCCCGATTGGGAGCAGCGAGTTCGCGAGGCGCACCGCCAGTCCTCAGAAACGATGAACTGCAATGGGGGATCGTCCGTGGCTGGTGAGGCATGCAAGGCGGGCGCTTCTGTGGATAGCAGACCGATCGTCACCTGTGAGTTCCGCCGTGATTGTCTCCGCCCTTCCGTGTCGCGCTGATAACGTGACATTCAGGCATCATTCTTGATGCCTTCCCCTCTCCCCCTGTCATCTGTCAATCCTCGTGACAGTGTTTCTCGTTTCCTTTCATGCAACCGAGATAATCGATGTCCGGATAAAATTTATATCATCAATAATGTGTGCCTCTGGATTTTTCTTTTCTTAAGGAACATATGTCAACTTTATGTTTTCAAGAAAATACATCATGCGAATTATTATTATTATTATTATTATGTTGTTTTAAATAATTTAATATTTTGCAAGACTTAATTTAATTATTTTGCCCAATTCTCTTAATTCTTGTTATCGATATCACATAACTTTAATTTAAGGTTTGTTCTTTTCAGCATAACTTCTTGCATGGTTCATTTTTTTTCCTCTTTTTCTCTTCATATTGGAGAAAATGAAAAGATGCAAAAAGTTCAGCTAAAAAGAGGCCTATTCATGTAGCAAACGTACAAAGTGGACTTTGCAACAGTTTCTTATAACACAAATGAGTAATCCAATGCAGTAGGATGTCATTCTATGCTTCATTTCTCAAAGCAGGTGACATAGGATTGGAATATAATAATTTTTTGTGTGATGATATAGATGCTGGGGATGAAAATTTGTTTTCTACATTGGAAAAGAATTTACTCCAAGCTATACCTACGGATACAGTAGAATGGCGCCGGTCGTTCAGCAGGCCAATTAAACAAGTCAAACTTGGGACTACTTTTGTGCCATTTTCCAGAGATATTTTGCCTACTGACAAAGATTGGCATCTCATAAAGCAGCCAATTTTTCATATTTATTGGACAGAATGTTCTGTAAGTCCTCCATTTGAATTAGTTTCTTATTACATATAAAATATATTTGTATGGAATGATATATGTCTTTCATTTATTATATTAAAAATATTAAAAATTATATTTTAAATTCATTAAAATAATATTGAATTATTTTAAATAAAAAGTTATTATTACAATATTAGAAGCATGTAATGCTTCTAATCTGTAGATTACATTATTTAATGTTCTCTAATTTCATGTTTTTAATAATTTAGCAAATAAATTTTTATATTCTTCTAGGATGTTGATACTTATAAGACTAGTGTCAGAGATGATATTGATGCCTGGTTAAAAATACTGAATTTATATCATATTCAAGATTGGATGATTGTATTGGTAGAAACATATGATGTAAAGAAGGCTAATAAATTGTTGCCTAGGACTACTGTCTTAGATAAAATACGAAGTGACTTTGCTGCTAAAAATGGCGACAGGTAATACGATATGATCTTTTATATTTAATCTTGTAATGTAACATAGAAATGTATTTATATCCATAATCTGTTTGACAGATGCTTTGCTGTAATTAATCCAATTAAATCTGAATCTCGTTCCGCGGAATCATGGAGAGGCTTGATAACTCGTATTCGTCATTTGATGTTGACTGCATATGACAAAACCCTGTCGCGTTTTGAAGATATTATACGTGAACAGAGAGAAAGGCGGAACAATCCTAGTTGGAATTTCTGCCATTATTTTCTTTTACAGGTGCCATTATTTTCTTTTACAATGCTTGCTATAAATTTTCATCTCTACTGAATTATCTCATCATAAAATTAAATGTTAAATAAAATATGGATTCGCGACATTATAATATATCTAATTTTTTCATTTATATAATATCTCGTAATATCCTCAGTTTTCCAATTTCGTATAAAAGAGAATATACTTAACTAATAACTAATATCCTTGAGATGAGGATTGAGATCAAACTCCAGACTCATTGACGAATTGATCGCTCTCTATGGCACGACATGTATCTTCTGAATTTGTTAATATTAATTTTGAAACTTGTACTTTTTCTATTATTTAATTGAATTGGCATTTTAGGAAGAATTGGCATTTGTATTGCAAATGCTGGGTTTGTATGATGAGGCATTGGTGCAATATGATGAACTAGACGCTCTCTTTACACAGTTTGTGCTCAATTCTAATGTAGGAGGTATTGTGGTTAATTTTTTAAATATTTAGTTTGTATTAAAGGTATACATTATGCAACGAGAACAGACATTGAGATGCAAAGTGACAACCTAAATGTAGATAAACTGTTTATAGATACTCCAGGATGGTTAGGTCTGTTTCAAACACCTCTGAACAACTGGGGAGGTGTGAATTTAAATAACGGTACAAACTATCGTCTGAGGTTTCTTTTGGCTGAATGTAGGGCATCTTTATTAGATCTTAGGAGTTATTTGTTTAGTAGACAATGTGCCATGCTACTCCTGCTTAATAAGCCTTGGGAGGTTTGTAATTTAACAAATTATTGATAATTAATAGCTTCATATAATTATCATATTTTATAATTGTTACTAAATATACTGAATATACTTGACAGGTTGCACAAAGGTGCTTATCGTTTGTTCATAATACATTAAGTGAACTAAGAATCTTAGAGGTACAGAAACCTGAAGGCTCTATAGAATGCTGGTCATTCCTCTGTGCGTTAGAGGTTTTGCAAGCATGTCAATTGTGCACCAATAATATCGATAACAATCAACAATTAGACTTGTGCTCTTTACATACAGCTAGTTTGTGGGCACTTGCAAGAGACAAGGTAAATAATTGGCTATATTATGTTTGATATTATTTAATTTATTTATTATTTGCTAATAAATAATTAAATGACATGTAATCCTCCTTGGATTATTTCTATTATATATGTTTTATATATATATATATATATGTT